CAAACAAACAAAAAACTGAGTGCATAAAAGAAACTAGTTGAAAGAGCTTAAGATCACTAGAAAGASAAAATCCTCCTAATATATGAGAACACTGGAAAAGAATCTGAGCTATATGGATGAATATATAGTTACCTTCAATTAGTCATTTAAATTAAGTCTTGGTTTCTATATTTATAAAACGAGAATATTAGTATCTAAATTTTTCCATTTTTTGCAAAAAATTGATAATTTATATAAGCCTCAAGTTAGTATTTGGCACATAAGTTTTAGTTAGAATATTAATAAACATGTATTCTTTATTGTACATGGGTGGATGAGTATTATGTGCATTTTCGCATTTAGCATCAAATTGAAAATAATCAAACTTGAGGCTATGATATTTTCTCTACAATTTGTATTATTCAAAAATACTCCTGGTGAGATATAGATGACATAGATGTAAGTAGAAGTCATTTTTTCTTCCTTTATTTTTCCACCTACTGAAGAATGTAACCAGTTATGAGATTCAACTCAGATTTCAAATCTCTCTCCTTTTCTCTCTTTCTGGAATTATTTTCCAATCCAGTAGCTTCTGTTTATCTCTGTTATCTCTCTGCCTCTTATATTGTTCCATTCAAAATATAATAGAACAATCTTTTGAGAATGCTAATTTTATCATTTTTCCATTCCCAAATTTGATGACTCTCAATTGTGTATAGGCTTAAATCTGAACAAATATTCTGGGTCTAGAGCATCTCTGACTGGCTGCAGATGTCTGCAAGCCAATCTCTCCCTACTTCCTAACTCTTAAGCAATATTCTGCCATGCTCAAAGGCACATGAGCCTGTGCCTTTGCTYATACTGTCCCCTCTGTGGAAGTTCACTTCTTGCTTTATCTACTAAGTAAAATTCCTGGTCATCCTCCAGTGATTATCTCTGTTGTCACATTTTTGCCCAAGCTTTCACCACCTCCATTAAGTGAAGTTGATTTTTCTAAACATCTTCTTGCTTCTCTGGGTTTTATACTTATACTAATACATCTTTATATGATATTATAYATATATATATATATATATACATATATATTTAATATCAAGGAACTTTCCCCCTTATATTTTATGAATCCTCCAAAGTAGAGACTGTTAGAAATTTTACCCCCATCATTTGATGCACTTAAATTTGAAAATAATTATCTGTTGAGCAATTCAGAAAACATCTATCCCATGCACAAATCACCACACATAGAAACTTAGACCTATTTTCACTCATATACTCAAATCAAAATAATTATACAACAAAAAGGGAAAGAAGTATAAAGGACACAGTAGCCATTGGGCCACTGGAATGTCCCCAGAAATGACCAGCAGGACAATTGAATCATGGTCACCTGGGCATCTACCAAGATTTGATGAAAGAAATAATAAATTGCACAAATCATTATCTTCCATCTGAAACTAGGGAGAAGCACTTACACTGTGGCAGAGGTGATAGAACAAGGTAGTGATTCTGACAGTAACAAAGTGTTTCAGATAGCCATCACATCCAAGACTGTGACTACATATCACTTTCTAGATCCAGGGATTTTCAAGATCAAAAGACCAGAATTCCCTGTAGTCTACTGTCCACCTGAGATGGAAAAGACAACAGAGGAAGGGAACACTTCAACAGAGGGCTGTGGAGGGTCTGGTAGGGTTACAGCTGTTGGGAAATGAGGTCCACATGGGAGGCTCTTAACCTAGATATTTCAGGAATCTTTTGTGTAGGATCTGATCCCTGCAGATGTCCTGGAGAAGGATTTCTGTACTGAGTCCTCTAGGCGGAGGAGGAAAAGTGGCAAAGAAGGAAGGAAGGAAGGTGATGGTGGAGAGGAGAGGAAGGGCCCATTCTTCACAAACCCCACAGAATCTCCTGAAGAGATGCAGCCTCACCATAGTCCCGCCCTCACCTGGTGGACCAAGCTGAGCTGAGCTGAGCCACAACACTGGGGGTCACAGGTGAAAAGGCTGARGGAGAGGGCAGGTGTTGAGACCTATGGGCTGAACACCAAAGTCCCACTAGGCTGTGTCACTGCATTTTTATTCCTGGGTACTCAGAGTGTTTTTCCATCTTGAACCTTTGTCAGCCACTTTTCTCAAGGTCACAAGCCTAAATTCTCCTAGGACTTGAACAGTGCATTTTCCTAAGAGGGACTTATTAAAAATGAGGACCTGAGAACTGATGTAAATAATGCAGTCCCATGAGTTCACAATTCATAAGATACCCTGCARCCTTTCTACTATGCTTGTTAACACTACAGCAATTTCTGAATCTCCCCTGATTTGTAACTCCATTAAAAAGAGAGAAAAATTTAAATTGTCAATTTTTCCACATGATGAGATCAGATTCTCTCTTGCTCTGTGACTAACTTTGTTAATCTCATAAACAAAGAAAGGTATATCCTACTCAGGGTTTATTAAGGAAATCTAGATTATTATATTGGTTGCCTCTTAGTCATGCTGATTAATATGATTATATTGTAAAGAAAAAGTGTAAAAGCATTTCTAAAATCTAAGATAACTGCAATCTTTGGTTACTAAAAACCTTTGTGGCACCTTAACTGAATTAGCAACAAATTTAGATATTGCTTCCATAATCAAGTGATGCTGAGGTTGCCAGAGCWRCTACTACTACTACTACTACTACTACTACTACTACTACTACTACTTTTAAGAGCTTTTGCTTATTTTTATTTGGATTTTTAAAATTTATTGTTTTTTTTGTTTTGTCTTTAGATATACGTGACAGTAGGGTGAATTTCTACATATATGGGCTGCAATCGATTACAGTTTTGATCCCATTCTTGTTGTTGAACATAATTTGGAGTTACACTGGTCATATATTCATAGATGAGCATAGAAGTTATATCAGATTCATTCTACTGTCTTTCCWATTCTCATTTCCCCTCCCTTACCTTCATTTCCCTTTGTCTAATCCAATGAACTTCTATAATTCCTTTCTCTACCCTCCTTTGTTATTTGTTAACATCCACATATCAGAGAAAAGGTTTGGACTTTGGATTTTGGGGGTTAGCTTATTTTGCTTAGATTATGCCAATTCTCCAGCTCCATTCATTTACTGGCAACTGCCATCATTTTATTCTTCTTTATGGCTGAGTCATATTCCATTGTGTAAATATACTGTATTTTCTTTATTTATCTGTTGAAGGGCGCCTAGGTTGGTTTCATAGATTGACTATTGAGAATTGAGTTGCTATAAGCATTGGTGTGGCTGTGTCACTATAGTATGCTGATTTGAATTCCTCTGGGTATAAGCCCAGGAGTGGGATATAACTAGGTGAAATGGTGGTTCCATTCCAAGTTTTCTAAGGAAACTCCATGCTGCTTTCCAGAGTGGATGCACCAATTGCAGTCCCACCAACAATGTATAAGGAGACCTTTTTCCCCACATCCTCACCAACATTTACTGTTACTTATATTCTTAATAATTGACATTCTGACTAGAGTAAAATGGAATCTCAATGTAGTTTTAAGTTGCATTGCTAGAGATGTTGRACACTTTTTTTCATATTTTTTTTGACAATTTGTAATTCTTCTGTGAGGTGTTTGTTCAGTTGGGTTATTTGTTTTCTTGGTGTGAAGTTTTTTGAGTTCTTTGTATATCCTGGAGATTAATGCTCTCTCTGAGGTGCAGGTGGTAAAGATTTTCTCACATTCTCTAGGCTCACTATTCATGTTTTTGATTGTTTCCTTTACTATGAAGAAGTTTTTAGTTTGATGCCTTTCCATTTATTAATTTTTGCTTTTACTTCTTGTGCTATAGGAGTCTTGTTAAGGAATTCAGTTCCTAAGCTGACATGATGTACATTTTGGGCCTACTTTTTATTCTGTGAGGCTCAGGATCTCTGAAATATAAATGATCCAAACTAATTAAAAGACACAGATTGTCAGATTGGATAGGAAATCAATATCAAACTATATATTGGCCACAAAAATTCATTTTAAATGTAAAGATATAGTTAGGTTAAAAGGAAACTGATGTAAAGATGCAACATGAAGATATCATTATAAGAAATCTAGAAATATTATATTAACATCAAAGTTGAATTAAAAACAGGAAATAGTACCAAGGATAAAGAGACACCTTATAGGAGCTGGGGCTGTGGCTCAGTGGTAGAGCACTTGCCTGGTATGTGTGAGGCACTGGGTTCGATTCTCAGCACCATGTATAAATAAATAAAAAATAAAGATCTATCAACAACTAAAAGAAAAAATTAAAACAAAGAGACACCTTACAAAAATGTAAAGGGTCATATCACCTAGAAGTCATAGTAATCCCAAATGTGTATGCACAAAATAACAGAGCATCCAAGTACCTGGAGAAAATTTGATGAAACTGATAACAAACTAAGCCAAGGGCAGCAGCACATACATGTAATCTCAGCCACTTGTGAGGCAGAGGTAGGAGGCTCACTAGTTCAAACCAGCCTCAGCTACTTAGTGAGGCCCTAAGCACTAGTGAAAGCTTGTGTAAAAATAAAATATTAGAAAAAGAAGACAGTTGGGGATGTGGCCCAGTGGTAAAATGTCCCTGAATTCAGTCATTCAGTCCTCAGTACCAGAAATACCCCCCACAAAACAGGGCTAGAGTTGTAGATCAGTGGTAGAGTGTTTGCCTAGCATGTGTGAGGCACTGGGATCAATTCTCAGCTATATATATATAATAAAGTTCTATCAACAACTAAAAATATATTTTAAAAAACCCACAAAACAAAACAAAAACATAAACTATAATGAGGTAGATCACTATTCCTTTAAGAATAATCAATAAAACAATGAGACAGAAAATAAGAAAAAATATAGACAGTGTTAAAAACTGGAAATGTCTTCACCTAATTTATTTTTATATAACATTTCATTCAAAAACAGGAGAATACAAATTCTTTGAAGTGTCCATTGAAGAATCTCCAAAACAGATCACAATCTAGGTMATAAAATAAGCCCCTAAAGTTTAAAATCATTGGATTATGCTCCCCATGTTCTATCAAACCTGTGTGCGGTTGTCTCGCCACCACTACAGCTCACCACATATCCCAAAGGTCTGGCTACCAGTGGATCCTGCACCTGCAAGAGCTCCTGAAAATGCAAAGAATGCAAACAAGTCCTCTGCAAGAAGAGTTGCTGTTCCTCCTGCACCATGGGCTCTGCCAATGCACCCACAGAAGCATCTGCAARCACAGGGACTAAACACAGCTGCAGGCCTAATGTCAGCAGGGCCCTGCACTGGGATGAAAGTAGACAAAAACAAGCAAAACATTTTTTTTTTCTTTTTTACTGCAACCTTGGCCCTTTCCCTACCATCCCYTTTTTTTATGAAATATGTGAAGGATAGTAAAAGTTGTTGACTTGAAAAAAAATTGAAGAGAATTAAAATTYTACAAAGGATTATTTTTATTCACAATGGAATTAAAGTAGAAATCAAYATCAGAAAGATAACTGGAAAAATTCTCAAATATATGTAAAGTAAGCAATATAATTATAAATACCCATAATATACACAGGAGCAAAAGATAAATCAAAAGGGAAATAAAAATAATAAGGTAAAAAAACCCAATATGTAATATATGGTGTTTAAGTGCTCCTAGGTTCAATCCCTGGTACAAGCAAACAAACAAAACAAACAAACAAAACAAAACACACATATGGAATTTTGTAGCATGCCTCTGTAGGAAAGTGTAGAATTAAGTTTATAGAACCAAATGCCTAGAATGTTCAAACACAGGTATGGCCTCAAATCAATAATCTTAGCATCCAACATTAAAAAAACAAAGCTAGAAGAACAAATTAAACTGAAAGTAAGTATAAAAATACAAATGATAAAGACACTATCCACTCAGAGAAGTCAGGAAAAAATAGAGAACTCATAAATTACCAGTATCAGAAATATGGAAGACATATCAATTCAGATTCTGTAGACATGAAATCTATTATGAAAATCTTATGAAAACTTTATATCAATAAATTTAATATTACATGATATAAAAAAATTCATGGAAAGACCCAAAATATTAGCACTCTAACAAGAAGAAATGGGCAATTTTAATAGTTTTGTATTGGTTGGCTTTGAAGATGGAAGAAGTTCTATATTGGTTGGCAAAGTTTCTAGATAGCTTCTGGAAACTAGGAAAAAAGAATCAGATTTTCTCCCGGAGCCTCCATAATGAATTAGTCCTCTGACATGTGGACTGTGATGAAACTGATTTTGAACTTCTGCCCATCAGAGCTATAAGAGACTAAGTACTCATTGCTTTAAGCCATCAAGATTGTGGTAAAGTTTTAGAGCAGCCATAGTAACTACAACATATGTACATGCTACCATTTCTTATGACCTTTGTAGTATTCTGTTTCCCTACACACATAAGAGCATTTGACATGAGAAAGAGTTTCACTACCCATTTATTAAATTAATAGATGAATGGATGGTTTTATTCATAATTAATAAAATGTCAAATACACAGCAATGAAAAAGCAGTGTAAGATAATTGGGTTTGAAGACCATTTCAAAGAGTGAAATAAAATGATTGGGCTTGGGCTGGGGATGTGGCTCAAGTGGTAGCGCACTCGCCTGGCATACGTGAGGCACTGGGTTCTGTTCTCAGCACCACATAAAAATAAAATAAAGATATTGTGTCTACTTAAAACTAAAAAATAAATATTAAAAAAAAATGATTGGGCTTGTACTTCTAAAATATTTGACTGCTATTGAATAGTCAAAGATAGACCTCTATCTACTGAGGCTAGTGCATGATACAAGGTACAGAGTTGGTGACCCAGGTCAGACTGGTAGCAGTGGAAGTAGGGAGAGGTGGTTGGATTTTGGATATATTTTTAAGAGAAGCCTGATAAGATTTGTTGATGAATTTGGCACAAAGTGAACAAGAAAATGAGTCAAGTATGACACTGAACATTTTTTTCTCCCCAAATTTCATAAGCATCCTTTCTTATACCCTCATGCCTGTAGCCTGGTGGGTGGAGGCAAGAGAAGAGAGAAAAACAGTCTCATTTGGAAAGGGCACCAGAAGGTCATCTCTCAAGTCAGGTAAGGATTTCAGTTTAGGGAAGATGGGGATGTTGTATGGGTAAACACTGAAGCAGGAAGGGAAATTAGTTTCTCTACAGACAGTACCAGAAGAAATTTGTTTTCCCACGAATCTTGGATGATATATTTGTTGCCACTTTTCTTCAACACTTTCCTATTCTCAAGATTAGTTAAACTGCTCATTCTATTGCCTAATACATTCTCTAGTTATCCCTGCCCTTGCACAGGACACCTGAAAGCCAACACCATTTGTAGGAAGCCCAGTGAGTTAGGAAATTCAAGTCTATAGACAGATTGAGGTGGAGTCCTGTGCAGCACAGACACTTCCCAGTCCTGTGAACTTGGGTTACTTTTTGTGAACTTGGAAATTATTTTTTTCTTGGGTGCTGTTTTATTTTCGTGAAAAATATCCACCCTGTATAATAACAACAAACTCATGTGCCTGCCCTTTTCTCCAGAGTAGATATATAACAAATGGTATCTACATTATTCTTCTGCCTCTCTATTTAACTATCTTTTCAATTTTAASAATTTCTATATGCTAAATCTGATATTGGACCTTTCTCCTGATTGAACCAAGGGCTATCATTTTCCTCCCAACTCTGCTCCCTAACCATTTTCTTGAATTCACCCACATATTCTGGAAAGGGAGAGATTTTTATCTACAAACACTGTTTGTTTTATTCTTTATCAATATTCTCCCCCAATTTTTACTGAAGTATTGATTAAATTTRTACAGAAATATAGGCAAAGTAGTTCACATTATTGGAAGGGTTAACAATACAATAACAAAATTCTATCAAATGTGCTTCTGTAGCATATGCAAAGTAATTCACTTGTAAACTTGAATGAATTTTAGACATGATTTCTATCATTAACTTTTCAGAAATTGCTGGCAATTATTTTCCTATTTTGCTCTAGAACCACTGAAGTTAGTGTCTCCTAGCCATAAACCAACCCTTTCCACACTCAGCAGCATTCAAATCTACCTCTGAAAAGCCATCTCCTCTTCAGAACACTTTCCTGCTCTAATTGCCTAAATTCCAAAAATCAGAATTATCTCAGTTCTGAACACAACACTGAAGTAAGTCTGGTCAGGGCACAAGCATTCTRTTCTATAATCTGGCACATTGCCAATAGTACTGAAGTCGGGTTGGGATCAAACCCATCAGACTTTGGCTCACATGGAGCTGTTTCTGGAATGAAGTCTTGGGGTCTTTTAAACTTTTTATTATAAACTTGTGCTAAATCACTTCTCTCTAATACCATGCCTGTGAAACTTATTTCTAAATTTTCCAGCTTAGTTACATTTAGCCTTTCTAGAGTGAGGGCTTGTGTTCCATGTTGGTGCTCTCACAAGACCGCAGGTACAGTCTGGTCTCAACCTCCAAGTCTTCATGTTGGCTTGCCCTTCTATCCCTTATTTCAATTTTGGCAATATACAGAGGGAGAAATGCAACAAAAGGGACTTCCAAAGGCCAGAAAATAAGGAGCAGTAGGAGAGAAGATGATCTGAGATGATGAAGAGGCAATAAAAAAACGGTAAAGGGGTTTCTGGGATAACACAATAATACTCAGGGGAAAAAATGTTAAAGATCTTCTCTGTGAAATGAGCCTATATTGTAAGCAAAAGAGAAAAATTCTCACAGACCCATATGAGTACACAATCTAATTGTTCATGTTGGGTTTACTGGAACCTCTGAAGTCCTGATTCCAGAACTGAACCTTGCAGGAGCAATGTCGATGCAGCAAGTTCTGAWGATGCAGAATTTTTCAGTGAAGAGATGTGCAATGAGGCAGTTAGGAACTGAGTCCACTCCATCCATCTGAGTGTTTGTCAGAATGCTTGGGCATCAAGGCTATGATATGTGCTCACTCTGATAATTAGAATCTAGAGCCCCCTGGCAAYTTGAGAATTCAGAGAGGGTTTGCTGTCTCTCATTCACAAACAGCCAAAGGGACTGTTTCTTTCTTTGCATTCTTTACCCACCCCCCAAGAGAAGTAAAAGTCAAGAGCTTTGCCTTTTCCTCAGCCTAAGCTCAGTCTGATGGAGTRGACCCAGTTCCTAACTGCCTCATTGCGGTCAAATGCATATAACTGTAAAAAACTAACTGAAGAACTGAAGGAAGTACCTTTGAACAGAAGGAGGATGCACAGATGATTGGTGGAATGTAGATGGAATGGTAACACATGGAATTCCAAAGAACTGTAGTAGTCAAATTATGAAAGGTCTCATATTAACAACTTTACTTTGGAGATAATAGAAAACAATTGGAAGAGTTTTAAGCAGGGAACCCTTACAGTTTTGAAAGATCTCTCTGATAAATAAAGGTGGAGTTTCTATTAATTACAGGACAGTGTGATACAGGAGTGAGCGATTCCACTCAGGGATGCATGAGTCAAACAATTCTTATTTTTCTATATTCTACATAAGTTCAGAATTCAAGCCTTCAGTCTGATGAACTGGAAAACCAAATTTAACTTTGGTGCACATGAGTTGCCACTGTTGATGAATTTTATACAATGCTAAGGTAAAGTATGACTCCACTATCAGTCCCACAGTTTCCCAAGAGAAATGTCCAGGATTCCAGGGATATTCATTTCTGTTATACTTTCATAATATGTTTGGAAGATGGAAAATTCCTTAGTAAGACTATTTTTGCTCCCTGAATACTGAATGGAGGAATACAAAAGGCTGCAGAACACAGCAGGAAGGAGAGGAGTCCTGCAGGCCAGGGCAGCAGTTGAGTCTCTCAGTCTTCAAGGAGATGGAATTCTCCTCAGGACAGCGAGGCCCTCTTGCTGGGGAGGCAAAAGCAGCAGCTGCTGGGACAAGGCCCTTTCAGAGCTGGTGGGTGGGACAGTGTCACCACTCCTTACTGGTCAGAACCTTAGATTTTACACTTCTAGTGATCATTTTTGTTAGTTAATATACGCAGTTACTGCTTAGGGTTGTTGGCCTTGGTCTGCTTCTGGTGTCTGCTGCCTCAGGGAAACAGATCCATGACTACCCAAGGGATGACACAGTCTTTTCTTTTAAGCTTCAGGTAAAAGATAGGAAAKATTTTCTTTTAAATTCTTGAAACCACAGTGACATTATTCCTCTGAATATAATGGGTGCTGCTCTCCTGATAAAATCATTACTCAAAAGGCTAGAATGAACAATTTAACACAATAGGGAATCCCTTCAGTGAAAAATAATCAGTACCTTTGTTAGGTACTCATTAAGAAACAATCACTATGTTAAATGATTTATATAATAATTTTACTTAATTTTCAAAGCAACCCTAAAAGTTCAGCACTGTTATTCTCATTTCAAAATGAGGAGACAGAGAATTTGATAGTTGAGTAATCTAATACAGGTAGCAACTGATCACATTGGAATTTAAATATGAATTCATGTGAATCCAGTCCATGCWCTTACCCACTAGCTAGATGGGGAAAATATTAAATTCCAACATTGGACTTGAATCAATAGCTAATGAGGTGCAACTGACAACATTTTAAAGTAAGGATTAGATAAAACCTCTATGTCCTACCTTCTTATCAGTAGATTGTAAATAACTTTAAAGGGCTGGTAGCATCTGTGAACTGGTATCACCCATCTTTTATATTTTAGTTACACTTATAAAAAATTAGCTTTTTTGTTTTAAAATCAATTTACAAAAAAATAAATACATTTCTAGTGTCAAGAACAACTTTCCCTCCCCTAGTGTGACTGACTAGAAGAAGACCCAGGATTCATTTGGGTGAGTATCCCTTTCCCTCAGGGCCCACAGTGAGGTTAGAACCCCTTCTTCTCCAGAGGTAGAAGGGAAGCTGTGTGCCTGAGAGAGGTCTGGGGCCCAAGGCTTCTTTTCCTTCTATAGTATGCAAGAAGGTCTTCTTGTTCCTTGTCTCTGCTTTTCTTCTCTGATTCTTTCTCTTTGTCTCTGTCTCTTGCCCTTTCCCCCTTTTTCTGTATCCCCTCATCATTCTCCATTGCTCTATTATTCCCTCTCTCTCTCTGTCTTTCCAGGTCTGTCTTCTTTGTTTTTCAATTCAATAAGATTTTCTTTTAAACACAAAATTTTGGGCTGGGGATGTGGCTCAAGCGGTAGCGCGCTCGCCTGGCAAGCGTGCGGCCCGGGTTCGATCCTCAGCACCACATACCAACAAAGATGTTGTGTCCGCCGAGAACTAAAAAATAAATAAATAAAATAAATAAATAAATAAATAAACACAAAATTTTGAGTTATTTGTTCAAATTTAGAAGCTTTTGGAGAATCCTCATCAAGCCACCAAAGCTGAACTGTCTGTCCCTGGTGACATGAATGGTGTGGGGAGGACGAAAGATCAAAGTGCAACTGCAGCCAGAAATTAATGGGGAATAGATAATGTGAGTTAGAGGACTGGGTCTCTGGATGGGCTCAGAGACTAGGCCTGAATCCTTGTTCAGCCACTAGTATGTGCAAAACAGGCTGATCACAGCCTGCTCCCAGATTTCTAATCTCTAAAATGTGGGTGGACTAGGCGGTTAGTAACTTAATTTTCCATCTATTTAGAATATCACCCAAACTGCAAAAGTTTATTTGCCTACAGACTTGCTAGAGCCTGTGCCCAGTTTGGCTGTTACTGTTAACAGAGCGCGGCAAAATGCTACTGCTCTAAGTGTGTCATACTGTGTCCTTACTAAATCCATCTTCATCTTAAAATACTTGCATGAGTTAGGTTCTGTGCCATGTCTTCCAACAGACACTGAGCACTTTCTTAGCCTTTGAATCACCAACATATAGTTACCTGGTATATGTAATATAAAACAAAATTTGCAAGTGAGGTTAAAATAAAAATCAAAGATAGGTTTTTCTTTCTTTCTTTCTTTTTTCTTTTTTTTTTTTTTGTTGCAGAACGTATTTGCAAATTGGGATATATGAGTTCAAGTTCAAAACACTATCCAGACATGGGCAGGATTGACAGAATGACAGCTCTTTCTAGATTCCATGGGTAGTGATTCATGGATGTTCTTGGTGGAACAATATGTCTCACTAATTCTAGCAGCAATCAAGACTGATACATTAACTCGTCCTGCAATTCCTGAGCAGGTGGTGTCTCAAACATCTTAGAAGGAAGTGGCATTGAGCCATCCACCAGAGCAAAAACAGGTCTCTGATGCCCTTATAGTTCTACTTTGTTTGTTTGGAAATATGCCCATGATTAAGAGGAGTGACAAGGACCATTCTGATTTCTCTACCAGAGGTGAAATTGTTAGATCAGTACCCGAACAATCAGAGTGAGAGCACTTAGCAAATATTTTTGTTAATCAGGAACCAAAGTTGGAGGTTTCAAGATGATCAGACATGCCCTTGTTTCAATTATAAACTATGCTTGACAATTTTACTTCATATATTTTCAGTTTTGTTGTCTTCAAATGTTGCATTTGTTGTCTTTCTAACTTCTGTAAATGTGTGATTAAAACATCTGTCAATATTATGCTTGCCCAAGGATTTATATTGAGTGCTTATGATTTTTCAGAACATGTTGAAGCTGAATTGCTGTTTTTGAACTTAGTCCATTTTGTGTTTCTGTTACAATGCATGAAACTGCTTAAACTAAAAGCCAAACCTCTGGATCAAGCTTGTTCCCATTGGCTGTGTCTCCTTCTTGCTCCAGTTCAGCCCTATGTCTCTCAAAGACCTTTCTCTGCATGCCTCTTAGGATCACTGGGTATTTCCCTCCATGCTGAGACATGGCTTCCTGGAAATTCCAGCACCTTAGGATTTCCCTTGAGCAGTGGGGAGCACTAACTCCTGACCTACATTCATGAGTATGTTCTTCACTAAAGCTATTGGATGAAAAGGAAGAAAGGAAAGAATAAACAATTTCCCACTGGTATCAAAATACTACTAAATTTTCCCTTGATCATCTACCAATGAGGCAGAGAAAACTACTAAAAATATATAGAGAGCAAAAATATGTCTTGGATCCTCAAGAAACAGCAAGTCCTCTAGACACAGGCTCCAGTGATCCCTTCTGTGTCTCATTCTCTGACTCCTCTTCCCTAGATGCTTCTGTTTAGTCTCCTTTACTTTCCTCTAAATGTTGTTATGCAACTCACTGCTGGGTTCTATTTTCCTTCTCCAGTCAGACTTTCTTCCCTAGAAATGTTACCAGTTACCTACTTTCAAATGCTGCCTTCAAATACTGATGACTCTAAAAAAATAATTGCCATCTTTACCTATCTTCATAATGGGTATTTCAAATTCAATAAGACCCCAATCTGCTCATGTAACAAACCATGACTATCTCAAAGCATGGCACTATCATCAATCTGTTTGCTTGGGTCAACATCCAAAAAATTTTCTGTATTCATTTTCATTCATGGTATAATAAGTTCCAAACAACATAGTGACTTAAAATAATAATTTATTTTTTTGAAATTTCCATGGTTCAGGGGTTTGTGTTTGGATTACCTTGGTCCTCTAATTAAGCTTTTCTTTTTTAAAGGCTGCATCAAAGTGGTGGGCATACTGTAGTTCTCATCTGTAGGTCTCATCAGAATTCAGTTTTTTGTACCTATAGGACTTAAAGTGATTATAGCAGTGATATCTGGTCATATTTACTGGTTCGCTCATACTAAAGAGAAAAGGATTATACAGAATTTATATGCTCCAGGGTTAGACATGAATATTATAAGGAAGAGAAAATAAAACCAAAATGACTCACAAGATGCAAAAATTATAAATAATACATTAGCAAATTAAATATAACTATGCATAAAGTGGAAATGACAAGAACTTATTCTCAAGTTCATTCTCAAGTTCATGATCCAGAGGTAAGTGGCAACAGGTTGTGAGAATAAGTGACTGGAAGTTGTGAAGTGGAAAAATTAGTCCAAGTAGAGAGAATATAACTGGTCAGTCATGAAAGAATTATTATAGGGAGGCTGCTTTTGAACASACCTTGGAGAGATGAGATGGGAAGTTAGCAGTTCTTTTCTCAGTATATACTATTACCTCGGGTACATTCCTCAACTCTGTACATGCCATTTTTGAAATTCATTATTTACTTGCATATCAGTTTCCTCACCTCTGCCCTAGAAAATGTGGTTAGTGTGAGCTATAGTCAATTTATTTGTCATATATTTCCTGTGACTTCAGCACAGAACATCACACTTAGTAGATGCCAAGTGAAGATCTGATGAAGTCTTTAGAAATGAGAGCTGTTTATGCTGATCATCCCCTCTCTGTGTGGAAGTGTCCTTTGAAGAGAAAACAGAAAGCAAAGAAACTAGAGGATGCTGGAACAAGGAGGATTGGAATACCCAAGTTATCTCAGCATTTAAGGCCTGGAGACAGAGACAAAATGGTCCTGAGATGGCATGAATGTCCAGGAAGTGATAAGAGAAAAACAGAAGGAATAACTTTAGGGGAAGTGAAAGTTGACTTTAACAAACCTGATCTTCACCTCTGCCTCTAGAGAACATGGCTATAGTGTTCCCTTCTCCTTTCTTGTCCAGATGACTAGTCTGAGAAGCTGGGGGAAAGACATGGAGGGAGACTGGAAAGACCTGTCCTGATGAGAGGCAATCTGGTCACTGAACTCTAAGACTTGGTGGTTTTTCATTTCTAAACTGCACCCCAAAGTCATCATCATCAATAACATAAGTTGCACAGAAAAAAATCCAAAGCTCTTTCAAGCACAGGTAAGCTATAGCTCAATGTTGCCTATACAAAGAGCCAATCTAGACATGAAGTAGACATAAAAGGAAAATCTTGAGCAGCAATAATGCAAATGCAAGTGAGTCTATGTTGAATTTTCTATGGTGTAGACAGAAGGAAAATATTGGAGAGATATGGGGTGGCAAAGGTTTTAGATGTCTGAACCTGAATGATGTAGCTTACTGTGTGTCAAAAACACTGTCTTTTATCTATCAGGAAATAATTGTCTCAGGCAATGGCTGACACTAGCAGTTGCTAAGTGTCACAAATAACCTTGTTCATGTTTCTTAGGTGCATGTTATACCTGGATAATTTTTTTTCTCTGACTCAAGTTTATTTTTACAAACAGCATAGGAGGACACCAGCTCCATGAAGAAGGCAGCCCAGTGGTCACACTAGTCCTTTGTCCTCACATTGGCAGACAGAGGCCTTTATTGTGGAGCCTTCTGAGAACCTGAGCACCACTGGGAACCTGAACCAGAGGTTAAGGTGAAGTTGGAGCTGAATTTGGAGCGGCAGCCTTGGCCTGGGTTTTGCTTGGGCCTTGGCCTTTCGCTAGCAGATCCTAAGACCCTTGGCAATGCTGGCAAGAGCAAGCTTCCTGGCTTAGGGTGGGCAGGCAGGTCAAATGATCTTTCGGGTGATACTTTTTGGGATCTTGGACTTTATCTTGGTCAGATCTTCTGAGATCATGGAAAGTGCACCCTAAAGAATCCACACATGGAGTTCTTGTTTATAAGCATAAGCCAAGGAGCCTGGAATGCTACATGTGGCAGAACAGCAGGAACCCCTCACATTGTGCTATTTCTTGTGGGACACGATGACCTTGTCTAAAGAGAAAAATAAGGCTCCAACTGCACCACCTGTAACATACTTTAGGTGTATATTTCCTGGCATGTTATGAGAACATGTCCTGTTTTGTCACTAGGGAAAATGTTTTTCTTAGTACAAAAAAGCAATTCAATAGCTTCAATATGTTAACTCACAGTAACTAAACTATGAAACCAACCTAGGTGTCCTTCAACAGATGAATGTATAACAAAAAGTGGCATATGTATGTGTGTGTGTGTGTGTGTGTGTGTATGTGTGTATATATATATATATTTAGCCTTAAAGAAGAATGAAATGCTGGCATTTTCAGGTAAATGGATGAAGCTGCAGAATATCATGCTAGGCAAAATAAGCAAATTCCCCCAAAACCAAGGGTGGAATATTTTCTCTGATATGTGGATGTTAATTCACAATTACGGTGTGGGTGTGGCAAGGGAAGAATAGAGTTACTTTGAATCAGGCTGAGAGGAGTTAAGGGAGGGGTGGGGGGGGTGAGGGGAGGGAAGATAGTAGAATTAATTGGACATTATTACCCTATGGACATGTATGACTGCATGACTGATGTGATTCTATATCATGTACAACCAGAAAAATGAAAATTTATATACCATTTAAGTATGATATTTCAAAGTGCATTGTATTGTCATGCATAACTAGTTAGAACAAGTAAAAGAAAAAAAGATTTAACCTTGCACTGCCCTATAAAAGATGTGCTGTGCAAGAGCAAAGCAGTCTGCAGCTTTGCAGGCTCCCCAGCTCCCCACAACAAACGAATGTCATCTTAAGACTAAAAGTCTTTGTGCATAACTGCAGCACCAAGTGCTCAGCAGTAGCTCATTTGAGGCAGGACTTAATCTCCATGAACTTTACCAGAGCCTTTATAACACATGCACTTATGGCCTTGACATTGTGTGTCTGCTTTTTCTCAGACCCTTTTTGTGCTTCTTGACAAAACACATGTTCCACAAGAACTTGTGGCCTACTGCTATTAAGAGGTTCATATCTTTGTAATAGGGATCTCTTGATGCCATTTCTCTATTGCATGGTTTCTGAAGATCACCTGGGACTGGGAGAGGTGGCCCTGACCACCAGTCATCTTCACTATCTTTCACACATTCCCATGTGTAGCCTAAGAGGCAGGCTAGACAGCCCAAACTAATTTAAAGATATCTTTTGTCCTTGCAATTCTCTTATCCTTTTGAATGTTCACAAATCTTGTGAATAGAAGTGATTATGAGCTTCATGTTTGCCAGCCCTCTCAGATTTATTTCTGGAACAGACTCAAGGTGCTGACACTAAAGCCTGTGTTCTTTCTAGTTTAGTGCATTGACTCTGGGTTGGGAAGGAAGAAGGACACTTAATTAAGCACTATAATGTGGAAATCTAATTTCATATTAATTTTTAGGTTTGACTGCTAATAAGTTTTTTTTCACCTCTCTTTCCCTTGTCCCTCACATCCAGGCAAACTTATGAGAAATACCTGCTGCTTCCTCCCTTGGAAATAACAGGAAATTCAAACCACACAGTCTTCTGCTCTTTGACATGAACTTCCACCAGCCCCACTCCTAACCATACTGAAAACCCAGCCTTGTCTCCTTTCTTGACCTCTTTAGACATTTCAGACCTTTTTAAGAAGCAAGGTCCCATGGAAGATTAAAGTTTACCTTAAAGTAAATATGGATATCTGTCTACAGAGAGGGGTGGCTCTAATATCTCTGGCAGCTCTGCCCTGATTTTTTAGTAACACATATAAATTGTAAATATTGATGATGTTCAGTGTGGTATTTCCAAACATGCACACAGAGTGCACTGATCAAATCCAATCTCTCTCTTTCAATCCTCTCTGTCAGTGAATCCCTAATAACCACTATTTTACCTTCAGGAGAACTTTGGTAAGTTTCTACATATGAGAGAGAAAATGAAGTACTTAGTTTTGTGTGTCTGACTTATTTTTCTTAACATGATGCCCTCCAGTTCCATCAATTTTCCTGCAAATGACAGGATTTCATTCTTCTTTATTCCTGAATAATATTGTGTTGTGAATATTATACCATACCTCTTTAATATTACTCAGCACTAAAAAACAATAAGATCATGGCATTTGCAGGGAAATGGATGGCATTCGTGAAGTTAGCCAATCCAAAAAAAAAAAAAAAAAACAAAACAAAAAACTAAAAACAAATACCGAATGTTTTCTCTGATATAGGGAGTAACTCAAGGTAGGTTAGGGAGGGAGAGCATGGGAGGAAAATTACCACTAGATAGGGAATAGGAGTGGGAGGGAAAGGGAGGG